TGTTCTACTTAGCGTATTGAACACTTTACGTAGTTATTTTTACTCGTTTTGGAGGTTTTTTTTTCTTTAGACACTGAGCTTGAATTCTGGACGATTGTTTTCGCCTCAATTTCATGGTCTTAGTTATTTCCTTTTTTTTATTCCTCATTTTTTCCTTGGGTATTGGTTTGTTCAACTACAAGCCGAAATACTTAAAGTTTTTCCAAGCGAGTACCAATATATATATATATATATATATATATATATATATATGTATCTGAAAAAGTTCTCACAGTTAACCTGTAGAAAAAATACAATATTTATAAATGCGTTTCGTCCAATGTGGACTTTTTCAAGGCTAAAACGAAATTTTCAGTTAACAGTATGAAACATAGCGTTCTCCAAATTCTTCCAGTAACTAAGGACATCTTGATTTTGTTATTATTAGTTATTTTGTTTAATAAATTCATTTCGTTTTTTGCCTTGAGAAAGTCCACATTGGACGAAACGCGTCGGCAACTATTACAGTTTTCCTATTGTCTTTTACATGTATATATATATATATATATATATATATATATATATATATATCCTGAAGATGGTCTATTAGACCGAAACATCCGACGTTGACATTAAACATTAAAACAGCATAATAGCATATTAGGATTTTTGTTTGTTTTTTCAGTATATTTTTCTTCATATATATATATATATATATATATATATATATATATATATATATTAATTAGTACATATACGTGTCCCTACGTTTTGATGTACGACTATAGTTTGGCTGGGTGGTTCCCTTCTCTGTATAACCGCATCGAACATTATCATGTATATATTTGACGATTATTTATTTGCTTGCTTATGTATGCACACCAGCACACGCGTACACGGTTGCTTATATCTGGCTGTTTCATTTATCTACCCTACAACTATATATACATATATATATATATATATATATATTAATTTCAATTAAAAGCTGCAAATATAATTTATAAATTCATGAATCATTCATACAAAAAACATTAATTAAACATTTTTTTCGGATTACATCTCTATTTTCGTTGTCCTCTTATTACTGAGAAATAAAAAACAAGAACAAAATCTACTTCCATACCTGATGATGTCTGTAGGAACAGACGAAAGCTTGTAAAAAATTAAAAAGACCTTATGCAACTGGAATTTATAAACGGGGATCATATCATTCATATACAGGTTCGGGGTTGATGTATCTTATTTATATTGTTTGCGAAGATGTATTCTCGCCATTTAAATCATTAACCTCTATATTTGTTTTTTGTATGAATGATTCATGAATTTATAAAATATATATATATATATATATATATATATATATATATATATAAATATATATATATATATATATATATATATATATATATATATATATATATATATATGCGTAGCTGTTTATGTGTGAATGCGTGTGCATGAATTAGTATTTTTCAATCAAATCTTTCAGTTATTAATTCAGCTCGTATGACGTGACCTAAATGAACGAGTGATGTAAACGAAGTTTAATCTCTCCTTGCAACATAAATCTTTATTCATAAATAAATTCAATGGATTTAAGTCACAGAAGCATTTACTTGATTAACAAAATGGCCTATATTCCTGTACGAATTAGTTAACAATTTTTTACATGATGATATGTGTTCGCTGACATTCTATATAATTTCAGTTTTTCAATCATAGATTTTATTAATTTTTCTCGTATTTCAACTCTAAAAGTATATTTATTGCTTCCCAGAGATAAAATACACTTAAATTTGCTTGAATATTCTCATATACATCTCTTTTAATGAAGAGCTACAAATTTTCTATTTTATTAATATCTACGTAATGGGAGCAGGTGGCATTCTGTTATTTTATCATCTCTAAAACCTTCTTTAACAAGATAGACAACCCCTCATCAACGGACTAATAAAGGGATGGGGGTAGTCTATTAAAGCCGATTGTCCGTAGATGGGAAGGGATTATTTTTTAGTTATAAAATCACTATAGTGCACGGTGGAGTAATGGATAGCGGCTCGGATGTAGGAATCAGAGAGCAGAGTTGGAATCCCAGTCGATTCCATTACTCTATTTACCCCGGTAAGACTTGGTTCTATAACCTTGTATGGTCTACCGCAGAAAGAAATGGCAACCTACTGCGGGAAAAAATCTGCCTTGTCAGTCATGTATCAAAAGAAACATGATCGCCTAAGCGTGTATCCCGCATGGCACATAACTGACTGATAGTAACTACCAGTAGTTATGTTAATAATGTAAATACTATAAACATGTATATATGGCATAAATTAATATATACTTAATATAGATATATTAATGAAAACAACAAAAATAATAGATTTCTCACAGCTACTTTCTCACGCACGCGCTGATGTATCGTACTTTATATACTGTACACCTGTCTTTGTTCACATTTGAAAGACCAGTCACTATCGTTAAGCGGTCACTTTGAGAACTAATATGACTCATTCCGCTAAGCCCGCAAATTTTGAAATACATCGCTGACGATTTGGAAGTTGTTTTTTTTTTCGTTGCATCCGAAGTTCATTTGATGGTAGTCCGTAGATGAGGGATTTGTCTGTACTTTCATATCTGTTTAATATGTTTTAATACTATTCAGTATTTTGTATCTCTCTCTCTCTCTCTCTCTCTCTCTCTCACACACACACACACACACACACATACTCTTTTTCTAATGAAATATATATATATATATATATATATATATATATATATATATATATTTAATTTGATATCATTTTACTGATGTTTGGTCATTTGTTATTTATGCTTCTAGAAACTGTGGTCGTTTGTATAGTTTATGTGAGTTTGGGGTCATTGGTTAGATAGATAGAAAGAGAGATAGAATGATAGAGAGAGAGAGAGAGAGGGGAGAGAGTATGGGTATAAGTATCAGTATAACTGTCAGTATTCCTATTCAGTATAGCCTGAAGTCATGCACTGAGGTGGAAAACTGGCAGCCACCATACAGTGTTGATTCCTATGTTAGCAGGATCTATAAACGTTGCATATCCAATATTTTCCACTCCTCCTCATTCCTCAATAGAAAATTATATACGTACACTCATAAACACACACAGCTATACACACACACACACACACACATATATATATATATATATATATATATATATATATATATATATATATATATTATGAAATGGACAAAGTCCAACAATGATTTTAACAAATTTTTATGTTTATACATTCTTTTTATAGACACAAATATTTAAGTAAATGCTCTGTTTATAATAAACAGTATTAAACAACATTTACCGGTCTGAATGTCCGAGAAATTTTCATAGAAAATATTCATCCTCCGACAGGAATCGAATCTGTATCCTATAAAGAACCGTCATATAGACTGACGTGTCTTTAACCGTTTTGGCCACAGAGAAGAGTTCGGTTAGCAAGGTCGAATTTACTGCCTTTAAGCTTCAATCTTCCATGAATCTCTCACGTATATTCATATCTGCTCAAAGCGTTATCCAAATGTAAACAAATGACGTCACACATTATGAAATGGACAAAGTCCGACAATTATTTTAAGACATTTTATGTTTATACATTCTTTTTATAGATACAAATATTTAAGTAAATAATCTGTATTATAATAAACAACATTTACCGGCCTGAATGTTCCAGAAATTTTCATAGACATTCAGGCCGGTAAATGTTGTTTAATACTGTCTATTATAAAACATTATTTATTAAAAATTATAAACATGTTATAAGATCACTACAAAAATAGCCATTTTGTTTCAACACTTCTGGTGTCTTTTCAAGTGATGGTGATGATAGCAGATTTAACCCTTTATTTTGCATTCAACCTCATCACTTGACAAGACACCAGAAGTGTTGAAACAAAATAGTTATTTTTGTAGTGATGTTATAAAATTTTTATGTTATAATTTTTGAATAAATACTATCTGCTCTACTCTGTATTGAGCACTCTTTTAAGAATAGTGTTTTTGTTTGTTGGAATTTTATTCCGTCTATACCAATCCTATACTTGTGTATCTTATTTATTATAAAACCCAGGTTGTGTGTGTGTGTGTGTGTGTGTGTGTGTGTGTGTGTGTGTGTGTGTGTGTGTGTGTGTTTATATATGGGATCAAATTTCCTACATTTTTCAACCGATTTCAACAAAACTTCACAGGACTACGCAAAATTACATGGCGGTGGTTCTAACAGTGCCAAAAATTGGAAAAACAGAATTGTTTTTGCACGAAATCAATTTGAAAGCACGGGTAAGGGCCATTTATGCAGATTTTTCGCAGTCTTTGTACGATGTTTTGTTACCGAGCCACCAAAACAAAGCAAATGGTCCAGTTTCTGATAGCACTAACGCTTGGCTATCTAACAAGTACCAAATTGTTTGCAAGACTGTCAAAGCCGCTTGACCAGGGAACCATAAACGAGGGTACCAAGGGACAGGATTTAGCCCTCTGAACACACATTCACTTGGTCGCTTTTCCCAGAGCTTGACCTTGGGGCCTGTCCAATCATCGCGCAGGATTTTTCACACGTTATAGCGCCCGCATGATCGCGCGTCAGCTTATGTGTAAGTGCGCTCAATGTCAACCATCCTATACCGTGACTCGGGCGTGCTTTCACACTTTTGCGTTTATTGTTGCCCGCGTGCACGCTTACTTTATTTGCCTACTTCGGAAACCGCAAATGGTTGAATACGTGTTCTAGCTGCTTTTTAGTTTTATATTTCCAACCCAACCCCACACACGTTAGCCAATTGTACTAAAAACCCATTTCCTTTTGGATTTACTCTTGGTTTACCTTTTTAAATTTCCACTTTATTAGTTCCCCTTTAGTAACATCTGAACACATTTTACTGGGTGTTTCCCTTTTTGTGTCTACGTTAGCAGTGCATGTTTTTTTCGTTTTGGATTTGTCGAAATCTCTTTTTAAGCTTTACTCTTATTGACGTTTTTACTGTTTGGATGGCACCTAAAAGGAGGAAACTTTTGGGACGGCGCACGGCAGCTGCCTCCGCTGCCAGAGCAGCGAGGGCGAGTGAAACCCCTGAACAGACTTCTTTGCGTCTTTCACAGATGGCCTCGAGCTCAGCTGCTCGCTTATCTACGGAAAGCGCCGCTGCGCGTACTGAAATGTTGACTTCAGCGGCTTCAACCATGTCCGCACGCCGCGCCAGGCTTTCGGTTGAAGAACGTTCACTTCAGAATTCACAGGACGCAGTCCGCGTGGCTAGGTTGAGAGCTTCACAGTCCCCAGCACAGAAAACCCTTCGTCGTTTGCGGGATGCCACCGCCAAAGCTTGCTCCAGGGGTTTAGAAAGACCCGAACAAACAACTTCACGTCGTCTTAGGAATATTAGGGCTACAGCCGCCTCTAGAGTTTCGGAACAACTTCAAGAAACCGCTCATCGTCGCTTTAGAAATGCCCTATCCACCGCGTCTGCCAGAGCCTTAGAAAGCTCTGCACAGACCACTGTTCGTCGCGTTAGAAATGCCCGCTCCACCGCGTCTGCCATAGTCATAGAAAGCCCTGCACAGACCATTATTCGTCGCGTTAGAAATGCCCGCTCCACTGCATCTGCTAAAGCCCTAGAAAGCCCTGCACAGACCACTGTTCGTTGCGTTAGAAATACCCGCTCCACCGCATCTGCTAGAGCCCTAGAAAGCCCTGCACAAACCACTGTTCGTCGCGTTAGAAATGCCCGCTCTACTGCGTCTGCCAGAGCCCTAGATAGCCCTGCACAAACCACTGTTCGTCGCGTTAGAAATGCCCTCTCTACTGCGTCTGCCACGGCTGCAGAAAACTCTGAAGTATGCCGTCAACGGCTCGAAAACTTTAGCCAACTTCGAGCTTCTTTGAATGGCGTAACTTTGCCGTCTGCGTCAATTTAGTCAAATGCCGCATACAGTTATGACTGCACTGTCAACTATTCCGCAAGGAGAGACGTACAAATAGAGGCCATGGATAAATTTTGCACTTTTTGCAACGCGAAAAATGTGGGCCGGTGAGCAACCTGGGCTTTGTTGCTCTGGGGACAAAATCAAACTCCCTTCTTTAGACGAACCTCCACAGCCGCTTAGGGACCTCCTTCTGGGTACAACTTCGGAGTCAACGCATTTTCTTGAAGCAATACAGAAGTACAAATGTTGCTTCCAGATGACGTCTTTTGTTGCGAAGGATATTAGTGATTGGGGATGGATGCCTACTTTCAAAGTGCAAGGCCAGGTTTACCACTTAATGGGATCACTTTTGGCTGATCAGGGAGAGGCACCTCAGTTCCTACTTACTTTCTCACTGACTACAACGAGCAGGTTGATGCGCGTCTCGGCATTCTGCCTAGCGATATTTCCGTCGGTCCCCGTAGAGACATTCTGTTCCGTCTACAAGACATGCTTCACGAAACTAACAGTTACATCCGAAGCTTAAAGTTTGCGTTGCAAAACAACTCTTCGCCCTCTTTCAGCGTTGTCATCGATGCAGACAGACGCCTTCAAGGTGAGCATGAGCGTCGCTTCAATGCTCCTGCATGTAATGAAGTCGCCGCAGTCATCCACGGTGAGGAGCATAACAACCGTGACATTGTCATAAGGTACCGGGGCGGTAGTCTGCGCCGCATCAGTGAAACCAACCGTTCATACGACTGTCTCCAGTAACCACTTCTTTTTCCATACGGAAGCGATGGGTACCACTTCAAAATCCCAATATGCCAGGCAAGCAGCGATTCCATGTCGACCTCAAAGACGGTCTCCTGTACGGCTTACTACGCCTACAAGTTTATGGTTAGGGAGGGTGAATTTAACCACTTGTACAGGTGCCGTCAACTATTTCTTCAATTCGCTGTTGACATGGCTGCAAAAATGGAGTCGGAGAGGTTAGGATTCATCAAGTTAAACAAATCCAAACTTAGAACTGACTCCTACATTCACCTTCGTGATGGTCTGCGTTCTGATGGTGACCCACGCAATCTCGGCAAACCGTGCATTTTGCCTTCCTCTTACACCGGTGGCCCTCGATACATGCATGAAAGGACACAAGACGCAATGATCTATGTCCGTCATTACGGCAGGCCTGATTTGTTCGTCACGTTCACGTGCAATCCGAAATGGGTTGAAATCACACACGAACTTTTTCCAAGCCAACAGTACTCACACCGCCCTGACCTAATTGCTCGCGTTTTCCGGTTACAGCTGTGTAAGCTTATGGATTTAATCCTTAAAGGGCAAGTGTTCAGACGCGTTAAGTGCCATATGTATACAGTGGAATGGCAGAAACGCGGTTTGCCTCATGCCCACATTCTGCTGTGGCTCAACGATAAAGGTTGACGCAAACAAAATAGACGATTTCATTTCTGCTGAAATTTCGGATCCTGCGCTGGATTCTTTGCTCCACGAAATCATTAAAAAACAATATGATACACGGCTCTTGTGGTGCGAATTACGAAAAAAGGTCATGTTGGTCAAGCGGCCCCACTTGCGTAAAGCGTTACCCCCGTAAGTTTATCTCAGAAACGCAGACTACGACGGATGGTACACAGTACAGACGTAGAAGCCCCACTGAGGGCGGCAGAACTGTGACAGTTAAGGGGCACACTCTGGACAATCGTTGGGTGATGCCTTATTGCCCGCTGCTGTCCAAGACTTTTGGAGCCCACATAAACGTTGAATACTGCCACTCGGTTAAGTCAATAAAGTACATCTGCAAGTACGTTAATAAAGGCAGCGATGCTGCTGTTTTCGGTATCCGGCGCGACAATTGCGTTGACGAGCTTGCCGTTTACGTGGCTGGACGCTACCTCAGCAGTAGCGAGGCCTTTTGGCGAATTTTCGGATTCCCCATACACCAAAGGGCTCCAGTCATTGTGCAGCTTGCTGTTCACTTAGAAAATGGACAGAGGATGTACTTCACCGAGCAAAACGCCCAGCAGGTTGCGGAAAACCCTAAAGACACAACCCTAACGGCTTTCTTTAAATTATGCTCAACAGATGCTTTTGCCAAAACATTGATATACCCCCAAGTCCCGTCCTACTACGTGTGGTCAAACAACCGGTGGGTTCGGCGAAAGGCTGGCGACTCTGTCGAGGGTTATCCCGATGTAAGGTCTCTTGCCTTGGACGCGTTTATACTGTGCCCCCCCACCCCAGCCAGCAGGAGTTCTTTTACCTCCGCCTTCTACTTCATGAAATTGCTGGGCCAACAAGTTTCACAGATATTCGCACTGTCAACGGAATAGAATGCCAGTCTTATAGAGAGACATGCTTCTGTTTGGGATTGCTTGATGACGACTCCCAATGGGATGCAGCCATGACGGAGGGTGAACTTCTCAGAATGCCATCACGGCTTCGAACGCTGTTCGCCATTTTGCTTTTGCGATGCGAACTAAGCGATCCTCTGTCGCTCTGGCTAAAGTACAGAGAATCCATGTCAGAGGATGTGCTGTTCTCCGTTCAGCGTAACAGCCCAGGAGTTGAATGCGGTTTCATTGACTTCATATTCAACAGAGCGCTGGTGGCCCTAGAAGATGTCGTTTTCGAACTGGGAGGTGCCTCTTTACCAATTTATGGTTTACCACCACCGCTCAAAGACGGTTTTGACACTGTACCAACTGAGTTATTGCGGGAAACATCTTACTCCATCGAGGGGCTGAACGCATACATTACCGAAAACGAGCCCAAACATATACCTGATCTGAGGCTTGCTTTCACTACCATAACAGACAGGGCAAACGGCTCCAGTGGAGGTATATACTTTTTAGATGCGCCCGGAGGAATTGGCAAAACTTTTGTTACTAAATTAGTCCTGTCAGAGGTACGGCGTCGCGGGGAGATCGCTTTTGCGGTCGCATCTTCCGGGATTGCTACAACGTTGCTACCGGGAGGTAGAACCGCTCATTCGGCTTTTAGGTTGCCGCTTGATCGATGCCGGTCACAAACTCCTCTCTGTAACATAACAAAGAATTCGCCACAGGCTGAAGTTCTGCGGAGATGCAAACTTATAGTTTGGGATGAGTGCACGATGGCACACAAGGGCGCTCTTGAGGCACTTGACCGAAGTCTTCAAGACATCCGCGACTCCTCCGACCCCATGGGTGGAGTAACCCTTCTCCTCGCAGGCGACTTTAGGCAGACTCTACCTGTTATTCCTAAAGGTACACGCGCTGACGCTGTCCGCGCCTGTCTGAAGTCGTCTGCTCTTTGGCGCCACGTGGAGACTCTTAAACTGCGCAAGAACATGCGTGCCTACTTGAATGGGGACTCTAGATCCGCTGACTTCGCACGGGACCTTCTTGCTCTTGAGGAGGGAAAAATGCCATCTGGCACACAGAGTTTTGTGCAGATGGATCAGCTTGCCACTACTGTTGAATTACCGGATGAATTGATGAATGCAGTCTTCTACAACCTATCCACTAATTTTGCCGATGCCGATTGGCTTGCTGGGAGGGCCATATTGGCACCGAAGAACTGTAAAGCTGATTCCATCAACCTGTTGGATTGCATTCCCGGGCAAGTCCATCGACAGAACTTCCGATCCATCTGAATTAGCTGAGTATCCCATAGAAGTTTTGAACTCCCTTCAGCCGTCCGGACTTCCAACTCATATTCTTCGGCTCAAAGTTGGTGCTCCGATTATGCTAATCAGGAATTTGCTCCCACCTAAACAGTGCAACGGGACTCGCCACACCCACGCCGCTGAGTAGTGGCGTGAGCATTGGGCGGAGGTAATCATGTGAAGAAGGAGGAGAGGCCTGTTGACGCCCCCATGAGGGATCGGCGTGATATGCCATTGTGAGAGAGAGGGGAAATCTGTTGACACCCACTGAAGGGATTGGGTGAGATACCCGTATGAAAAAGGAAGAATCTGGCAGGACTTCCAAAAATGGAAAATAATAAATTTTCCTGACCGAAAACAAAGAAGTGGATTGTGGATTTAGAATTATCAAGGAACCTCAAACGCCGACAAGCCCACCCCGGTTTTGGTCGGCGTCCATATAAGCAGAGTTGCAACGAGTTGCGGCAGTTGAGTTGAGTTGAGTTAAGCAGTTGACAGCTGAGCAGTTGGGGTTGGAGACAGACAGGCAAGCAGTTGCAGTGAGCTGAGAGCTCTGAGGACCCGCCTCGCAAAAGCTGACTAAGATTCGCGCATTCTCGACCTCAACTTCTAACCAAGAACAATTTATTTTTGAAGAACGACTTAGGCTCACACTACCAAAACAAGTGTTACGAATATCGCCTGAAGAAGGAGGAGAGACCTGTACACCTAAAAGGAGGAGAGGCCTGTACACATACATCTTAAAGAACAAACAACTTAAGATGTTAAGACTCGCCTAACAAACACAAGTGTCACGAATCCATATAGCGGTTTGGGAGAAAGATGCAGTCCTGTATTCAGCAACCAGATATAAAATATTGTTATCCTTTTTTAACACATTTGAACTTTTTGAGTTATTACTTTATTTTCTTTTACATATACTTGTGCGGTGTTACCCTTGTTCGGACTCGACTTGCATTACGGCCCGGCGTCTGATTGATTTCGTCTACCTAAGATCAAATCACAACGTGGGTAGGTTAGACTAGAAATCAAAACAGTTACTTCGGTAACCAGACGTTGGAGGCGAGCTGGGAATGACAAGGCTGATACCGAATCTAACCAGATTCCCATCCGAATCAGTAAAAGGTTAGAACGTCACATTTGGTGCCGCCACCAATACCAAGCCACATTGGTCGTCACGGGACAGGATAGGACGGCGACGGCGCGGAGACAGACGGGGTGACGTCACAATTGGCGCCGCGACTAGGACAGCACGGCGGGCGCGGCCAGGCAGACGTCACGATTGGCGCAGCGACACCGGGGGACGTCACACCACTTGCCATTACTAAGACATCTTTGTAAAGGT